ACCAACTGCGCCACCTTGCAGCCCCTCCTGAAAGTTAACATTCCTTTTCATACAATATGAATCCCACTTTTTTTAACAGCTATTCATTCTAAGTGGTAAAATCTGTAATTCAAATTCTGTCTCCACATATGAATTTCACAGTGTTGGATGTGACCTGGAAAAGAAAAGCTAGCACAAGTGGTTCAGCCAGTGAGTGTATTATCACAAATTGCTATGACTACAACACGTGATTTTGAACCAAACTCAAGGGCATGGACATGGAAGTGAAGGTACCAGGCACCAGGATGTTGGTAGTGAATAATTTGCACCCTGTAGGTGGATCGATCTTGTTCAGTTTGATTTGGATCCGGGGACTCCGGACTCTTTCTTGTGTTCTCCAAGCTCAGCCTTCTGAAATGTGGGAGGACTGTCCTGCTCGGGAATGCTGCCCATGTCAGGGAGTGCCATTGTCATGGAGTGAGGGTTTACAACAATTTTCGCTGGGTGATGATTGTTAGTGACATCCACATAAATGCAAGAACCCAAGTTCCCACCATAGTTATTGTGGGTACCGCTCCAATGTTGACTGTGGATAGACACGCAACACATTGTTTTTCTTTTTCCGCTGAAGTTTGCCAGACAAAGTAAAGACTTTAAAAGCATCTGTCAGCTTTTAGAAGTTGTGATACTGCTTTCCTTTCCTCTGTGAGATCCTCTGCCTTGTCCTAGAAAACCACTTGTGCTTTTGTAGCAGCTGGGTAGAGGCAGCAGAAGTATGAAAGCTGTTTTAACTTCTTTTGGGAGGCCAAATGAGCATGTTTTGACGGCTGTTACTGCTTTGTCATTTTCATGCCTTGAACATACTTTCAAATTATCTAATTCATGAATGGCACAAAAGCTAATTCCTCATCAGCTGCAGCCTCAGGCACATCCTAATTTTCAGAGATGTTGCTAGCAAACATCTCCAATATCAAAGACAGTATGTAAATAAGTCAAATGGACACACTTCTGTATTACTGTGTTTGGGTTTAAGCAGATTGTAACAATGAGACAACATGGCCAGCCTGATGTCAAACTGAAGATTTCAACATTGCTGTCCATGATGGTCATCCAGCAAACATTTAAAATCAAACTGCTTTGGTCTTGTCATAATAAAAAACAAACATAAATAAGATCTTGGGTGAAATAAACTGGAATTATCCCGTCAGGCTGTGACAGAAAGTTCCACATTTGCTCCTCTGGTCTCTTTACTGATGGCAGAGGGCACCATCCAACACGTATTTGTCTATGACAACCTGGCTCAACAATTGATCCTCTGTATGTACAGTCCTGACATTAGAACCACCGCTATTATTACGAAAACAAACACACAAGTCATGGCATACTGACACGTAAATGCTTCACACTTGCTTTGCTTCAGCGGTGTGCCATCTTTCCTTTCATCTCTACATCCTCCCCTGTGTTTGCACTTGTTTTGGCTGAGCACTGCTAATTAGCGTCCAGGCATGTACAGCTTAGCATAGCATAGTGTGAATGTGTCAACAGGAGAGAGTGGTGTTGCCTTCAACACCTCTCTACAGCAAACACACACCCACAACCACACACACACACACACAGACATAGAGGCAGGCCACTGAGGAGGTCAATAGAGAAAGGGGGAGAAATCCACTGTATATTTCATGTGGTTAGATGTACTTGCAGCTTTCTTATGTTTTGACTACGCTATCATGCACTTTGACCTACAGAATAAATACTTTGAAAGAAAACCCTGTGAAAGCACATTATATAAACACCAGTTCTACACAAAGTGTGAAGAGTGCGCACACACACACACACATATGCATAGACGCACAGACAGGGTTTGTTCTGCTGCTGCGATAAGAATCACACATCCTTTAAAGATGTGAGGTTACAGAGTCAAAGTTATCGTAACATGTCTGTGTTCTTTGAAAAATAAAAATGACACCATTACTGGCAAGCTTAAGATATTTTCCATTTCTTATCTCTTTAAGTTCTCTTTATTTTCTGACAACTTATTTGTGTATGTGTTCCTCCCTCTTTGTCTGGCTCCACTCACTCTCTCTCTGGCTCTCACTGTGCAGCACCCCTGCCACACACACACACACACACACACACACACACCGTACATATGTATTTCTATAGTACACATACACACATCTTCCCCTAATAACCTCATGCCCGCTCTGACAGGCCAGGTGTCTGACTATCTGACAGCTGCCTAGCTCTTGTTTTTTTCCTTTCCTTTCTTTTTAATATCCCTCCTTTTCTTCTCTCCCAGCTGAGGGCTGCAGGAGAGGTATGCGGCATTAGGTCGAGACACGCAACAGGTCCTGCAGCCAGCCAGCTCGCCTCAAGAGAGGACGGCGGTGAAGGGAGGGGGTGAGGATGTCTGGAGGCAGAAAACTGTCTCATTACACTGTCTCATCTCTGAGACCTTTTATCGGCCTGTTTAAAGAGACAGAACAAACAACAGCAGAAATCTTGACAAAGCAGCCTGATCACACAAGTAACTGCGCTCTGTCCAAAACTGTGTTTTAAGTCTGACAGAGTGTCAGTGTAACGGTGCTACTATAGGGAGCTTTAACACAGCAGATGGAGGTCTTCACATCAACAACTGGAAACTGGCCATCAGGTTGTGAGTGCATCAGCTAACCATCTGTGCTGTAGTTAGTGTTACACGGTGACAACAAATACACTTAATGATTTACTAACAGCAGGGTACATGTCTGTCAAAGCCTACAAGGCGTCAGGTGGGCGATATTTTCAGTT